GCAGATGAACGAGGGGAAAAAAAAACTAGTGGCTTCTAAGCTAGCCAGAAGGCTTGGAGTCTGGGAATTGAAATCAAGACACTCCAAACCTCGTCATGTCTGCCAGCCACCCCATTCCACCCCAGGCCCCACTGCAGCCCAGGCCTGTGTAGGCCCTCACCCATCAGATGGGGCTGCTAGGTCTTTGGCTGTGGTGTGGTGGCCAGGTGACCATCCCACTGAGTGACATAGGCCCTATTAGTAGCCCCCTGGGTGGTTGTGGGGAAGCTGGGACATTTGACCACCCCAAGTGTTGGACTTCATCGACAGGCAGGGGTCAATCAGTTGACCCATCAAATGGATGTTAACTATGCTCTTTGTGGCTCCCTCCACTGTAGCACGTAGTTCCTAAGCATCTTCTTTCTCCCCTCCTTTTCATGACTTGGGGGTCCGCCTTGTATGTGGTGCTGGTGAATCTCATTCCTTTGGCTTACACTGCCCACCTCTGGGTTATAAGTGCCTTAGTGTTCAGGTCTGGGGAAGACGTAAAAATCTACATGATGTAAAGTCCCAGGGAACTTACGCACCTTTTTATAGCTTTGGAGTTGCTATTGCTTTGTTCACCTAACGGATACATGAATTACAGTGTGCTGCTCCAGGATTTATGCTTAATGTTTGATTTTCTTACTCTGGGCCTCAGTGGTCTTGGTGATAGAGGGTGGGGTGCTCCTGCTTTGCCCTGATGACCCCACTCTCTCCCTGCAGTTGTGTCTGGGGATGAGCCCAGGGAGAAGATTGACCTGGTCGCCTACTTCGGGAAGAGACCCCCAGGCATGCTGCACTGCACGACCAAGTTCTGTGACTACGGGAAGGCGGCCGGGGCGGAGGAGTACATCCAGCAGGACGTGAGTGACACCAGCAGAGGTGGGGGTGGGCAGTGTCCAGAAAGCAGACGACAGCTCAAGAAAAACGGCATCTCCTGCTCACCCTTCTGGATGGCCTCGTTGCACGGACCTCGGGCGCCCTGGCTGGGGCCTGGCCGGCGGTGCCGCCAGCCTTTGTGGTTGTCCCCAGGCCTGCCCGCCAGCGCTGGTTCTTCTGTGGTGTAACGGGGGGTGCTGGTTCGGAGCAGGCTCTGGCGCTGGCTCTGGCCTCTGCAAGCCTACGTTCAGTCCCACGGGCTAGGAGTCTAGGAGTCTCTCGTTCCGTAGAGCCTGGCGCTCTGAGGCTTCTGTCCGCAGGTCTGAGGACAGGCCTTGCCCCAGAGTAGGGAGTGTCCAGGGGTAGTGAGGCTTACTGGCCTAGGGGTAACCAGCCCCCCTTCCTCACGTCACAGCAGAACCCTCGCGCTGAGCCTGACATGGTGATCTGGTGCCTGGATGTGCACAGCTGTCTCCAGCCTCCTTCAGGTTGCTTCTTAGCACCAGGCCTTCCTTGACCCTCCACCCACTTCTCTGCCTAGGTTATTAAGGTTGCCATTTACTTGGGTGGTCAATGGTTTCCTACTCATGGAAGCTCCCTGAGGGCGAGCTTTTTTATTTTGGTCCAGCCCTGTATTCCTCGCACTTAGCACAGCTGTGTGAATCAGTGTGTAACACTTTCCACTACCAACTAACCACCCACTCATGTAGCGACATGCGTTAGGCATCTTTTATATGCTAGGGGCCGTTGAGGCAAAGGATTGTGAGCAAAAACGGAACTTGTGTGCCAGGTGGCAGGGATGGGTTTTCTTGGAGAATCAGGTAGAAGCTGAGCTGTGCAGGGACTCTGCTTAAAGGCACTGACGGAGCCTTCGCCCTGCCCTCCAGGGTGTGGCCTGGCCGCCAGGGTGCCTGTTACCAGGGGGAGCTGAATGGTAATGACAGTAGCACTTGTTATGTGCCCGACGCCGTTCCAAGCTCGTCACCCAGGCACTCCTGTCACCCTCACACAGGGGGAGTGCTAGTCACCGACATTTTAGGGGTGAACAGGCCAACCTGGAGGGGTCCAACAGCTTGCTGTCTGCCCTGCAGCTAGTGAGGGGTACTAGGTTCTGAACGCAGAAGTCTGGTGTTAACCCTTGCCTCTCTGCACCTTGGCTTTTTCAAGTCAGCCAACAGTTGGTGGAAAGTCACCCCCAACACCACACAAACTATGTCGTGCGTGTTTGGGGGTGACACGCCTTTGTCAAGGGGCTCTGCTTCGTTGGGCTCACCTGTCAGACCCCACCTTTGTAGCTGTCCTCCCTGGAGGCTGCCACCTCTGGCGTGGCCTCACTCTCTCTCTCTGCAGATGGTGAGGAAGTCCTACTCCAAGGCCTTCACGCTGACCATCTGTGCCCTCTTCGTGACGCCCAAGACGACGGGAGCCCAGGTGGAGCTCAGTGAGCAGGAGCTGCTGCTGTGGCCAAATGACGTGGACAAGCTGTCTCCCTCCGACAGCCTGCCCCGGGGCAGCCGCGCTCACATCACCCTGGGCTGTGCGGACGAAGTGGAGGCCGTGCAGACAGGCATTGACCTCCTGGAGATTGTGCGGCAGGAGAGGGGGGGCAGCCGAGGGGAGGAGGTGGGTGAGCTGGCCCGGGGCAAGCTCTTCTCCTTGGGCAATGGGCGCTGGATGCTGAACCTGGCTAAGAAGATGAAGGTCAGGGCCATTTTCACGGGCTACTATGGGAAGGGGAAACCGGTGCCCACACATGGCAGTCGCAAGGGGGGTGCCTTTCTGTCCTGCACCATCAACTGAGTGCCCTCACCACCCCTCTCGTGCTCCTCGCCCTTTAGGTGGGAAGGAGGAGATGGAAGCACACCCTCTGCTCGATCTTTAAGGTTTTTTTACTCAGTTAACCTTCCTGTAACTTGTTAAAAGCTTGTAAAATAACTGCCCTTCTTTTTCTGTTGACCCCCCCTTCCTGTCTAACACTCAAGTTCTCAACACAAAGGGGTGGGAGGTGGGTACCGTTCGGGAACCTGGACCAAAGCTGAGGAGGCTGGGCCGAGCTGGCCGGGAGCCCTGCTCTCACTGCTGCCCAGGCCTGGCCAGCGGGGAAGGGACCTCAGGGCTTCACGTCCCTACAGCCCCAAACACCGGTAGTGGAGGTGGATGTGAGGGGGACGATCCCTGGGCTTTGATCCCATTTCTTAATCACTGTAGCCCCAGGACAGCTGGGGTTATCTACCAGGGTAGAAAAAGGGGTTTGCCTTCCACCTTTGGTCCTAAGTGCCTGTCCCTTCCTTCTTCACATTGTAACTAGGTAACAGTTTGATAACTAGGGAAGAAAACAATAAGCAGCAGCCACAGCCCAAACTGGCTGCTGGCTTCACCCCAGGAAGGGGATGGGGTGGCCATCCTTTCCAGGGGTGTGGCTCAGTTGCACGGATGGGAGACTGAGGCCAGAGACAGTGCGTGGTGTGGGCGCTCCGGTCTTGCAGTCTGCCTGGCCCATCTTGCCTCCTTGGTGCCCCTGGAGGCCTTCTCTGCCTCCTCTAAAGGGAGCTGGTGGGCACTAAGAGCCAATGGGGTGGACTCCTGACTGTTAAGGGCTCAGCCCACCTGGAGCCTCTGGGAAGGGGCTTTAACACTGCTGCATGGGCTGCCCTGTGCTCAGTACCGGGGCCTTGCTCATTAGGTTGTCACTTGACAAAGTGCTTGGGATTTGAGTGCCAGTCCTTGCTCTGCCCAACCTCAGCAACTTGTAAGACTGATAATGAAATAAATCATGTTAATCCCAGCTGTGTGCGCTCTCTCTCACCCTTCGGTGCCCCTCGCATCTTCCCTGGGGCAAAGGCTGGGTGTGTCAGGACTGGCTTTGTCCTACAGCTTGGGGCCATCGGTCCTGTCTCCCCGCTGCTGGCTGGGCACAGCTGTGGCGAGGGTGGGCAGCTGAACAGTGTTGGCTTTCATAAAGAGGCAGAAAGGAGAGAGGCTGTCTTAGATGCCCAGAGAGTGGGGGCTGGCTGGGTTTGAGGGACGCAGGGCACAGAGCCTCGCATCCTGTTAATGACTCAAACAGGCCCACAGGTGTGCCTGGCCCAGTATGATCAGACTTCTTAGAGAAGCAAGACCCCAAACTCCTAGTATGGGTCTCCCCAGTTCTCTACAGAAGAACACCCTCAGGTCAGTGCTGTTTCAAACCCAAGGGAAGGCCTGACATTCACAGTCTCTTCCAGCCAATGGGCTTAGGCCGCTACCCAGGGACTTCCTGGCCTAAATCAGTCATCACTTCACCATGGCCCTGGCACCAAAGGGGGAAGATTGGAAAGAACAGGGCAGGGGCTCCAAAGGGAGGGACATCAGATATCTGTTTGGTCAAGGTCTTGCCCCACCATGTCTACCACCAAAGCACCGAAACCCTGAGTTTCACCCAGAGCCTCTCTGCCTGGAAATCCCAACAAGATCCACCCCCTACAAACACTAAGCCTGACCCAACCAGCATGACATATGGCCACTGCTCCCTTCCCCAGTGTGCCTCCCATGCAGAAAGGGGCACCAGTGCAGCAGCACAGGCATCTGCTAAGAATGGTGTTCCCAGCTGTGAGCTGATGCCAGTGACCAGACCCTGGGCCTAGGAGCTGCCTGTCTCACTGGGGAATGAATGGTCTGGCAGTCGGAGAGGCAAGATTTTTACCTTGTGTCCCCCCTGAAGCCTGCACTGGCAATAGGAACTGGGAGAGTTTGTGCAAACCTCCTTCATCTAGGTTGGCCTGGCCTGGCACTTAGCATCCACCTGTGCTCATGCGAGCTGTGGACACACAGCTGCTCATGATTTCCGGTGGCCCCCACCAAAACGTAAGCATGTTTCTGAACTTAGTCCCCTGTGACTGGCATCAGACTGGGCCTGGCTGTACAGGCAGCACCTGCTCAGGACCTACATGCTCAACACACTGGGGAGAGGCACCTAGGACCCCACTGGCCACCAGCCTCTGGGTGCCCACCGCCCTGCGGGGTGGCCTGCTGAGCCTACAGTCCACACCAGCACCACCTCTGTGCTGGGGGCTCAGCTCTGGCCCACCGACAAAGCAGCTGCCAGGGCAAAGTGCCAGAAAGGGTCAAAACATTTTATTCTCTTCATTTTTTTCTTTTTTAATAAAGTTATACCATAAAACAAAAATTCACAAGCTGCCTCCCTGTTCACCTCCCGCCTCCCTCCCCTACCCGCAGTCTTCGGTGCTGGCTCCCTTTCCTTCACCCGACTCACAGACACAGGGCATCCAACTAAGAAAACGAAACTGCTCTAAAGACATGGAGACATGATGGAGGAGGTGAATTGTGTCCACATTCAAGGTTACACTGAGCAAGTCTGCATTTTCTGAGTTCTGGATGATGGCCTTCCATTAGCCAAATTGAAAGAAGAAATTCCCTGGACCAGATGCTGTGAGGAAAGAAGAGCACGTCAGTTGACTCTGGGTTTGCTAGGAAACAGCGCCGCTCTGATTATGGAAAAGTCTCCATTGGCTGCTTCAAAGCCAAAGAAAAAGGTCCAAGGGCATCACACCTCCTGGGCTGCGAGGGAGCACGTGAGCACATGTGGAGTCCACACACTCTAACACCTCCCGTTGTGCAGACCAGCCCTGGCACCGGGCGGCTTAGCAGCGCCTCCCTGAGCCAATGGAAGTGCGGTGATAATGGTCCCAAGGCGAGGGGTGTCCGGGAAGCTCGCTCCTGCCACCCTCAGCAACACTGAGTGGGCGAGGCCCTACCAGACGAGAGTCCTGCTGCCTCCACGCAGGAGCCCCCCAACTCTCAGAGCCGCCCGACTAGGGAGCCCGTGTCGGCTTGTGATCCGGGCACTCCCGAGAGCAGCAGGCACACTCACCTTCAAAGCTGAAGCCCCCAGGTCCGCCGAAGAATGCCTTGAAGATATTGTTGGCATCAAAATCTGTGGGGCAGAGAGAGAAATGGGGAAGGAACCAAAAGGTGAGAGAAGTGGAAGCGTCTAAGGAGGAAGTGTCCTGGGCAGAGGTGGTCTCCAGTGCTCTCCCAGACAGGATCGCTCCCTACTCCCAGCCGCACAGACCGGTGGTGAGCCGCCCCTCGAGGCTCACCGCCTGACCCCATTCCTGGGCTACGCTGGCTCCTCTCCCCCACAACTCAGAACGCCAACTGCACTTGCTGTCGCAGCTTTCCCTACACTCTCCTTGTATATAATGCTATGGCTGCTACTGAAAAGGCTGAACTTTATCCCTTAATACACTACCAGGAAAAAATAGAAGACCAATGATTTGTATCTGTCTGATTGTATGCTGTCTGAACTGTATGTCAGAAAACGTGTTTTGGTTTTTTTCCTTAAATCTTTAGAAGGGAAGGGAAGGAGAAAAGGAGAGAAATATCAATGTATGGTTGCTTCTTGTGCATCCCCTGCTGGGAACTGGCCTACAACCCAGGCATGTGCCCTGATGGGGAATCGAACCTCGATCTTTTGGTTCACATGCCCGTGCTCAATCCACTGAGTTACACTAGCCAGGGCAGAAATCGTGTTTTTTAAAAAGCACCTACTAGGTGCTGATCATGGCTCCAGGTTCTTTTCACCCATAACATAACTGAATCCTACTAACAATGTCAGGATATCTTCACCAAGTTATACTCAGTGAAACCTAAGTAGGGAGTTCGAATAATTTGCCTAAGGTCACGTGGACAGTAAAAGCAAAATAACGGAAAAGCCCAGCTCTGATTCCAGCACTGTGCCCTTGTCATCAGGCCACAGCAGGTCCAAAGTCCCCAACCCCTGCCTGTCCCCCTACACTGCACAGAAAGATCTCTCTCCGCCAGGGTATCCACAGGCACCCTATGTCTGAAAGTGAATTCTTTGCCAGCACATCTGTGACCTTCCTGAGTCCCCCCACTCAGTGAATGGCCCCCCGAGTCTGCTGTGCCAAAGCCACTCTCAGCTTAGCCCTTTGCTTTTCCCAACACACTTGGCAACCAACTCCTGCTGAGTCCACTGCTGCCTTCCAGCTGCGTCCTCCGGCCCTTTCCCATCCGCTGTGCCTTCCCCCTCATCTCCTCCCAAACCACCTCTGTCCGCCACCGTCACATGTACTTCTAGAGCCTAAATCTGGTCCGTAGCTCCCCCACCTAAACCCTTCAGTACTTCTGATGGACTACAGCTCTTCTCAGCTGCGGGGCAGAGCAACACTTACTTACTACTAGTAAACCTGGGCTTTTAAAACTCTCCCTCGCTCTCTGAACTGGAGACCAGGTCAGGATTACATATCGTCAACTTGTTTTAAATTCCAACAGGTCTTCTTAGTGGTGAGAAAGTTGTTGGCATTAGAGACTGTGGTCTGAGAAGTGAACGCAGTTCAAGGCCTCACTGACCTCTGACCGAGCTCATGGTGGGCGATGATGCTGATGGCTGTGCTTCACTTCCCTCTACGTCTCTTGGGGAAAACAGTACCTGGGAGGGCTCACAGGGATGTATGACGCACACAAACATCAGCGTGCACTTTGCAGTGGGGGACAAAAGAATGTCCAGCCCGTATTCCTTGTTCCAGCCCCTAAGGCCTCCTGAGGTCTGCTCTGCTACTTTCTGGCCTTGCCTCTCCTCGTTGCAAAGCCTGAATATTCTCTATGCTCCTACAGGGACCCTTGCAGCTCCCAAGGATGCTTTGCTCTGCTGCACTTCCATGCCTTCCCTTGCTCTCGCTTATTCATGTGGTCTGGGGACCGAAGTTTGCAAACTCTTAGATTGGGTTCCTGGAGGTCAGGGAAGCAGTTTGATTCAGCTTCATCATTTCCAGCATCCAGCACGGTGCCTCACATGTCACAGGTCTTCTTCAAGTGTGCACTTGACAAGTCACTGCACGTCACTGGCTGATTATGTAGACTCTCCCTCTAGATTGTCTGTAGGAAAATCCTAAAACACCACAGCTGTAGGAGGCACCCCAGGCTGCCCTAACCAACTCACCGCCCATGTTCACGCCCTCCTCATCCAGGTCCTGTCCGCTGTCATAGCGGGTCTTTTTCTTGGGGTCAGACAAGATGGTGAAAGCTTCTCCCACTTCCTTGAACTTTTTCTCCTCCTCTTTCTGAACTTCGGCACTGGCTCCACTGTGCCGATCTAATGGAAGGAGTACAGGGAACTCATCTTGGAGTCTCAAGAAAAAAAGTTTACAACCACTTTATGTCTGACTAGAATTTGGTACTTCCCAAAATGTGGAACGCACTGAACTCAGTCCCGCCTTCCGCCCAGTGAAGAGCCCCTGGGAGGTGTTCATTCTGGACGGAGCCTGGCGGCGGGCCCGCCTGGCCTGCTCCTCCCAGAGTCCGCCCCCCCAGCCGCTCTACCTGGATGGTGCATCAAGGCCCGTTTCCGGTAAGCCTTCTTGATCTCATCCTCAGAGGCGTTCTTGTCCACTCCCAGAATCTTGTAGTAATCTTTCCTTTTACTCTTCTTCAGTTCCAGCTGTGCATTTTTAAGGAGCTGTTTGTGTTCTGGGGGAGACACCGCGCATCAAGGACAAATCTGATTCTGGCATTCCTTACCAAGTCCCAGCCCAGGTGCCCTGGAGTCAGAAGCCTCGTTAACTATATCAGGAACTTTTATGTTGTTTTATCCTCACTACAGATTAAAAAAAAAAATCTACTCATATTTAGGGTTCCTCACATCAGTCGAACCACATAGAAAAGGAAGCAAAAGGGACTGCATTTGGGACCAGAAAACATATGCTCCAGCCTGCACTCAGAATTTCTGTTCACTTTCTCCTGGTGGTGATCAGATAAGCTCCGGCTACAGCCTGACCTCAAATTGGACACTCCTGTGTCCAGCTTTAGGGCCTACAAGTTCCCTGAGAAACATGCTCCCGAACGTCTTTACCTTTTGTTTTCTCCGTCTGATACACTTTTTCATAGTCTCGCACTGCTTCTTCATACTGTTCTGTGTCCATGTAACTGAGAACGAAATACAGGGCAGGACAGTGACATCAGTTCCAATGGCCTTCAGTATCACTCTAGAGGAAGAGGCATGGCTCAAGCAAGAGACACACACAGAGTTTCGGTTGAGGTGCTTCATGAAACAAGAGTCTTTCTTGCTAGCTGTGAAAAAGTTAACTACCACTTCCTCGAGGAAAAAAGAGACAGGTCTCATGCCACTTGCACTCAACCAGCAAAGTGATATTCTGCTCTGAGCAGAAAGCAACGGGCAGGAAAGTTCGTTCTGATTTCACAGAGCCACCAAGAGGCATCTGGCCTGCCTCATGAGAGGTGATGTGAAAGCACCTACTTGATCACTGGGAATGAAAGACATGAGAAAAATTACAAAGTGAGATAAATGGGTATGGAAGGGCTTTGAAACCTAGAGTGCCACTGACATGCGGGGCCAGCTTCAATCCAGGGCGGAAGTGGGATTAGTGAGCCACCAGGAAGATCGGGGTAGAAGTGGCTGCAGGCAACTGCTTCCACCAAGACCAGTCAACCTGAGAGATGTACATGAGACAGAAAAGGACCCTCTAAACTCAACAGGCTTGCTTCCATTTCAATAGTGAAGGAGGGGCCTGGCCCAAGGTGAGAGGACCCTAGCTCAACAGGCTGACTGCCAAACCACTGAAGTGTTTCTTCCACAGATACTCTTAGCGAAGAAAGCATCTTTAGTGTCCTGCTAAGATGGCTGGCACCAAGACTGGCCTACTGGGCATACAGACTGTGTCAGGAGTTCTGGAGACAGGCTCCATCCCCTGGGGCGCGGGCAGTGGCCCTGCACTGTGGCAGGCTGCTGCACAACAGAGCATTAGTGTACCCTAGCGCTCCCACGAGCCCACCTCCCCCAACACCACTGGGCCCAGCAGGCCTGCAGGCCATGGCCAAGGGAGTGTATCTCGTGTGGCCGGAGCCCGACATCTGAGGCATCTCTGACTTTCTGTCAACATCTTGATTTATGCCTTTAAAAAAAATGGTGACAAAACCATGCCCTTTGGACAGAGGGCACAAATGCTATTCGGAGCCCAGGGAACCCATTTAAAGGATGAGGTATAATATAAAGAGAAGTAAAAGAAACTTGGTAACTGACAGACAGCCTGGGTATAGAATGATCTAACAAATAAGCAAACAGACCCACAGGTGGTATGTTCAACAAGCTTATGTTATAGTGATGTGCATTTTTACTTCACAATTAAAAAAAATTCCAGGGCAGCCGTGGCCAGTGTGGCTCAGTTGGTTGGAGCGTCGTCCTGTACTAGAAGGGTTGCAGGTCTGACTGCCAGCTGGGGTGCACGCCTAGGTTGTGGGTTCAGTGCCCAATCCTGGCGCATAATCCCTGGCCCGGGTGCGTGTGGGAAGCAACCAATCAATGCTTCTCTCTCACATCAATGTTTCTCTCTCTCCCTTCCTCTCTCTCTAAAAAGCAATGAAAGAGTGTCCTCAGGTGAGGATTAAAAAAAAAATTCTAGGACATTCTTACATCTAAAATTTTTTTTCCTGAAATTGAAAAATAATAGAAAAGTAGAGCCTTAGGGAAAATGGGAAACTCCAGCTCATAATGGGGGAATACAGCGAAGATCTGGCACCTCCCAACTTTAGGGGCAAGTTGAGGCAGACTGGGGCAAGGGTCGGGGCTCTGGTAAGGCTCTGGACTGGGCCGATCTCCAGTTCTTATCGATCGCAGCTGCCTGAGGGGCTGCTGCTGGTCCTCAGCCGGCTGTGCCCAGCAGTGCGCGCTGTTCCCTGTGGAGGGATCTCAAAGGCAGAGCCACTCAGAGGGCAGTTCGACTTCCACCACAAAGACGAGGAGCTGTCTGATCAAAGCAACTGCTGTCCTGATTTTTATTTGTTGTGCACATATGAAGAAAATAATCCTCCATCCCATCATCCTCCAACAAATCGAGCATGTTCTGGCTCTGACCACGTAGCTTGGTTGGTTAGACTGTTGTCCTGATACACCAAGATTGTGGGTTTGATCCCCGGTCAGGGCACAGACAAGAATCAACCAGTGAGGGCATAATTACAGAGAAAATGAACTGATGTTTCTCTCTCCTTTCCCCTCTCTCTCTAAAACCAGTTTTTTTAAAAAGTGTTACGTTCTTTCACCACTGAAGAGTATTCCAAATGCAACACAGTATCATGTATCTAGGTATGTAGGTGACCCTTTTTTGCTGTTATTACAGATAAAACTGTCATAAACGTGTTGTAGTGTTCTGCATCTGTTAAAATAAGTCTTCAGCTGGGTCGAAGGGCACTCTCATCCTCCAGAGCTCCCACACTCGTCTGCCAGTGGTCCGTGACGGTAAGACATCAGGCAGTGGTCTCAGAAAGTCTACAGTTCTGTGTATGTTTGACAGACTCAGCTAAACACTTAGAAATTCGCAAAAACAAAACCCCCACTCCACACAGTAGCAGTTTTCCTATTTTTAAAAAATGTGGATGATTTTGGGAAAACTACATGGGCAGTAGGCCATACACTGCACCGCTAGTGAGACTCGGTCCCTATGAGAACCACGGCCTCATCATGCTCAGGACAGCGCCAGCTCTCTGGACATGGCATGTCCCAGTGAGGGCCAGGACAGGTGTGGAGGGTGGTGTACGACAGCTAGCCCTCCCACTCACACACACCAAAGATGGGGGTCTTCTCTGTCTGGGAAGGAACTTGAAATAAGATGAGAGGGGTCTCATCTGAGAGGGGTCTCTCCTAGCTCTTTGCTAACGTCCCTGCACGGAGAGACGCTGGCAGGTGTAAGAGTAAGGGGACAAGTGCGCTGGGCAGCACCCCGACTCTGGAAGCAAGTCTGGGCACTAAAGGCAGGCACGTCCTGGCTTGGAAATCACCGTGTCGTCAGGCAGGTATTTCCAAAGGGGGGGGGTCCTTTTACTACTGGGAGGTCCAGCTAGATTAAATCCCTTTTAACTTCAAGACTGTCTTCCCTAAACCCAGAGCAAACAGGCTAGTAAGCAAGGCTCTCAACTGTCTTCAAGATTCTTTTCCAAGCAGCATACATTCATTCAACAAAACATTTATTGAGTGAACACTCACTATGTGCCAAGCACTGTGCCAAGTTAGAGCAAAAGTGTACAACACAAACAATCTCCAAAGGAAATGGATTTAAACTTGAACAAAAGGTATTTGGGTCAGGTATCAGAGGAAACTTACTGACCGTGAGGGGCGTAAGACACAGGCATGGGAGACTGAGGGAGCTTGTGCAATCTCCTCCGCTGGAGGTCTATAAAGAGAGTCTAGGGCTGGAACAATCCCACCTAGAGGCAGGGGGAAGGACCAAATGACCTCACAACATCCCCGGGTCTGCCTCACCATCCGTAATGCACTTCCCCTGGCAGGCCAGCAGCAACTCCCTCTTCCCCCCGCCCAGCAGGGGCACTCACCACTGAGCTCTTCTCAAGTAGGCTTTTATGTAAGTGTCCTCGAGCTTCACTGCATTTGTGCAGTCTTCTATTGCATCATCTAGTTTCCTAAGCTTCAGGAGAGAGAGAGCAGTCACACTCCACACGGCGGTGCTGGGGACCCAGAAGCTGTGCACATGGCTTCAGAACTCTACGAGGACCGATCCTGCTGGCTCCCTGTCACACTTGTTCCTGATCACTGAGAGAGCCTGTATCTCAGTGGGCTGAGGACACTAAACCCAAAATTGGTGGTTTGTTTTTTTTAAGTAATGGAAGCCAGGCACACTTATCTGCAAGGATAAAATCACCTATACCATTCCCGGTTAGTGCCCAACCCAGACATAAAAATGGAAGGGTGGCTCCTGCCCTCCATTCTTCCAGAGACCAACCACAGGAATCGGAATAACTGGGTTTTAACCACTGGAAATCTGCGAGGAGCCCACTCTTGTTTCCTAGAGTGTGCAGGACCACGGAAGTGCTCGGGCTGCTCTCAGCTGAGCACGGGGACCATCAGTTATGCTGAAGACCCATATTCCCATTTCCTCCAAAGCATCCTAAAAAAGAATCACTTGCTTAGGCAAAAAGAAGCAATAATAGTTGCTTTAAAAATTATCCCAAAGCTCTAGTCATTCTCTGGGGGGAAAAAGACCTTGAAGAACAACAGGTGGGAACAACCTTCCAAACCATCCCCCAAATGCCCCTAAGTTCCAGAGAAAAGATACAAGCTTGCCTCTCAGAAGTAGGTTCTAATGGGCTGAGATACCAATCAACTTTGTCTCCTGTCCTCTGGGTTCCCCTCATTGGGCAGATTTCCCAAGACCTCTTCCACGTCCCTTAAAAATGTCTCCATAGGACCCAAGCCCCAGACCAAGAGCTTACCTTGGAATTAACCGTACCCCGATTACAGTAGAGTTTAGCATTTGTTTTTATATTGTTGGGGTCTATCCCCAGGGCTTCTGTGTACAGTTCATAGGCTAGCTTGTAATTTCCTTCTTTAAAGGCTTTATTCCCATCTTCTTTCTTTGCTTTCAGTGCTTTAGCGTTCTACAGAGGAAAGCAGGGGAGGTCAGTTCACGTCCAGAAAGCCTCAGACCACTGCACAGAGACCAGAGTCTACTTCCAGTTTCTTGATCCCAGTGGTTTAGCTTCACACAGACCCTGATCCCATTCCACACCACCCTTGGGCTAGTTTTTCATCCCTCTGCTTTCCTACAGAGTGGACAGAAGAGACCAAGATTCACAAAGGAATACTAAGGAGACCCACGTTTCCCAAGGCTTCCCCCCACTCCCCCAGGACAAGCATTACCTCTTCTTCACTGAGAGAAGAACAAAAGAAAAAAGCACTTAGATATTAAAAGGATCTGACTCATCTGATCCCATTTACCTTTGGGCAAAATAAAAAAGTAGTCTTGAAATCTGTTTTCTGGGGGGGGGGGGTGGTGGTGTTAATATGTAGAAATTCCACAAGAGTGTATGTGAGCCAAACTGACAACATATTCTGGGGAGCAAGATCTCAACTGCTCCCCTGAAATCATTTCTACTAAAAGGACCAAGCATCCTGGCAAGGCAGAAAGATGGGTCTACCACATTCCCGTTGTTCTAAAACCATCCAACTCTCTTAAAGTCTCAAAAGGGAAGCTTTCTTTCCCACCCAGATCTGGTGCCTAGAACTTACCCTGCAAGCAACACAGGCCTTCTCATGGTCAGGGGCCATCCTGAGAGCCTGCACGAAAAACTGAACCGCCTTCTCAATACAATCTTCATAATAAAGGCAAAGACCTCGCACGTACAAAGCATCTGCATTGGTGGAGTCCATCCGTAAAATGTCACTGCAGCAGCCAGAGAGAAGGCGCATTGAGCTGTGGTTTGGATCTCCCCACCGTTACTATCATTTGTGGGTTTCTTTTTTCTTGATCATGTTTCTAATATGGAAAGTATCCAAAGGTAGGCATTTTTCCCAAATAAATCACCTTCATTGATCTTTAATGTCTCATAATCTTTATTGGAATGGGTTGGCAGGCTACAGCCCATAGGGCCAAATCCCACCTGTCACCAGTTTTTGTATACAAAATTTGATTGAAAACAAGCGGCATCATTTGTTTACCTATTCCCTAAGGCTAATTTTGCACAACAATGGCAGAGGCGAACAGATGGAACAGATGCAATGGAAACCACCGAGCCTGCAAAGCTTAAGGTATCTGCCCTGACTGATGTGGCTCAGTGGGCTGAGCGCCACCCTCGAAACCAAAAGGTGGCTGGTTCTGTTCCTGGTCAGGATACGTGCCTGGGTTGTGGGCCCAGGTTCCTGGTTGGGGGTGCGAGAGAGGCAACAGATTGATGTTTCTCTCCCTTTCTTTCCCTCCCTCTAAAAATAAATTAAATCTTAAAAAAAAAAAAAAAAAAAAAAAAGGAAATTTACTATAAGGCCCTTTACATAGTTTGCAAACCCCTGGAGTAGACAGAAAAGGACATTTAAAAATAAAAACCAAACAAATTTGCACATCTATTCTTTCACACACAGCTGAAGTACCTATGATACCCCTGTATTCCCTATGGGTTTTCAAATTTAGTCTAATCTTGGCTGTAAGTCACAGGGAGGTCCAGCTGGTCCTAGCTGGTCTGCCTGCAGGACATGTGCTAGCACTGCTACTACGCAGAAGCTGCCAAACAGCACCCGTGCAGGCAAATCTGACTTTTCGACACAGAGTTGGCCTGACTTCATACCTGGCCACAGACTGTGCTTCTGGGTAACGACCCAGCATCGCCAAACATTCTGCTTTGAGGATTTTGAAGCGATGGCAAGCAGGGGCAAATTCTAGGGCACGATCCATGCAGAAAACTACCTATGGGGAAGAAGAAAACAAATAAAAATAAGGCTTTTCATCCTGGACTCCAAAAACATCTTCATTTTAGTTTGGTCACAGATAACAGATTCAAAGGAGAGTGATATCAGAGTTTAAGAACATATCTAATTCATCTAAGTCATTGAAATAAGGAGAGCAGCTGATCCAGATGATAATGACAGCATTTACCAGTATTTTATGTATTAACTTATTTGATGCTCACACAATTTTATAAAGTAGGTAATATTATTACTCTTATTTTACTGATGAGAACACTAAAGCATAGGGATTACATAACTTGTTCAGAGCCGCCAGCAGCAGACACAGGATTTAATCTTAGACACTAAGACTGCAGAGCCCATAACCCTAATCATCTCGCTAAGCTGCCTCCACGGTAAATCATATCCACAATGACCATGATCAAAACTCTTCTAGTGTAGAAACTGTTAGCTGCTACTTTGCATAACTCATCATGCTTAGTAAGACAGAAAGTACCAAAAACAACCTGGCATGGAATCACTGCTCCCTGTGTTGGTGGAAGTGCTCACGGTTCTCTCCTTCCTGTACCATGAGCCTCACGTCTCTGAGTAGCCTCGTGGCCACTCTTCCACTTTTATTTTGGTGCAGAAACATACCAATAAACATTCTTCTTAAATGATCTTGAATAGACCACACCAGATTACTGTATCTGACATGGTGCTACACAAAACAAAAGCCAAGAGGCTCTCGCTAGCACACACACAGAGCTGGGATTAATTCACTCAGCCTCATAAAGGTTCTCTATGTTTCCATTTTTTCTTTTCAGAAGTTTGAGGTGGGGAGCACTGGGGGGGGGGCTGGGATGGGAGTAAAAGACAGAAAACTGTACTTGAACGAGTTAAAAAAAAAAGTTTGTTCTCTGAGGTTTCATTTTCGATTTACTGCTATTTCTGGGAGATTGCTAAATTGCATTCTCCTCCAAGATTAATTCACCCCAAGGAGAAACATGGAGTTTAGAGACACCTGTTTCCTCTAAGAATCTGGCCATAGGGACTAGGAGGAGGCTAAGTCTGGGCACTCAGAAACACTCAAAGTCCATGACAGGAGACTGGTTAGATAATGCAGACCTGCATACAATGGAATACGATGTGGCTCTAACAGAACAAAGATTCAATCTCCAGATACTAATATAGAAAGACTTTCAAGGCCTGTTAAATGAAATAAAGGCATAGAGCATATTACCTTTCACGCAAAAACAAAAGCAAAACCCATTATGCTTACACTCTTCTAGCTTTTGAACCACCGAAAGCACCCCTTTGAAAGTTAAATTAAAAAATCTGGGGAGGTGGGTCAACACTATGAACTGCCCCATGGGGAGGGTGCTCTGCAGTATTGGCTGCCTCTCCTTCAGCGGCACAGGTTAGTGTTCTGGAAGTGCTAAGGACAATATGACAATTCAGGTAGTATGCACGGTAGAGTCACAGGGCTAATTTTTCCCCCTTAAATGAAAAAGAACGGGGGGAGCAGGAAGGGAGCAGTGGGTCAAAATCGCAGCAGCCACACCCTGCTGCTTTCCCAACGTTCTGTATGGAGACGGTTGGGTCGTCGTGGGGAGTGTCAGAGGCTCCGGGGTTCACTTCCCACCCCCACCTCCCCATGACTGTGGACAGCTGCAGGCAAAGAAGATCTTTGTTTCTTCCAACTTCATCTGCTTCCCCGGCCAGGATCATAATTCTTCATCTATGACATCACTGTGAGCTACAGTGGGGGGGGGGGGGTTGGGATGTCACAAACAGGATTCTGTCACAAACTGGGGATTCTCGTTCCAGAGTAAGCAAGAGAAAAGAAGCCCAAAGACAGCTTTTAAGACAAAGCTTTTGCCTATGTAAACCTCAGAGAACATGACAAGAGGCAGTAGCACTTTCCAAATATATACACATAAAACAAAACAAAACAAAAAACTCTTACGAGTCACACTAAAAAGATACTGTGGATATAAAAACCAATGGACGGAAGAGGGATGCTAACAAGTTAATGCTGGGACTCTCCGTAAGCTAACCAGATACATTTATTACCAAATAAGACCTTAACAGTGTAAGATTTAAGAATAATTCTTTTTTAAAAAATATTTTATTGTTCTATTGCAGTTGTCCCAATTTTCCCCCCATGCTCCCCCCGCCCCCACAGTCAATCCCCACCCTGGGGTCCATGCCCGCGGGCCATTCACACATGCTCCTTAGAATAATTCTTAACTGTACCCTATTATCGAACACTGAGTACCTGCTGCAGAAAGCACCAAACAAAAGCCTACCAATGAAGCGACCACTCCAGTCCTTGGTACTCACAACCTTCTGCCGGGTGGTCCTAGAAACCGGTCCTGAACAGGGGTCTTTAACCTTTTGGGGGCCTTTTACCTCCCTTTCAAAACTCTAGTGAAAACTACTTCTGAGCACCATCTAAAAAAGGGAGTCAGGAATTATGATACAGATGAAGCATAACCACTGTAGACCTAAAAAGATACTTCTGGGTTTAAATTTCCACGAAGTACCACACAGCTCCGTAAGGGACAGCAGTACGCTTCTGCAGAAAAGCCCAGTGTCAACAAGGCAGTGAGGACAGGCTGCCAATACCGTTCAACCCGCACAAGGGGCCTCTCCCTAGCTGTGATTTCTAGCTCCACCAGCTCCTACAAAGCTGGTGTTAGAGCGAGCTCTCATTCATCAAATAAAAACGGATCACCCAAACCCATCTAATCCCAACTGGGTTTTCCTATTGTTTCTTCCTACAAGCACACGTTTAGACCACTACTGTAAATCAAAAGCAGGAATAAACTTGAGTGACGAATTCATTTTGCTTTTATCATAAAGCCAAATATAATTTTAAAAAGTGACGTAATAAAAAATCATTTCGAACGCTGGTGACGGCGGGGAGCCGCAGGAACTCACACCGTCGCTGGTGGAAAAGCAGGATGGCACAGCCCTTGGAAGACATTTTGGCAGCTTCTTATAAAACCAAATATCCCCTCGCCATACAGTGCAGCAGTCATACTTCTTGGCATCTACCCAAAGGAGCTGAAAAATGCCCACATGAAAATCTATATGTGGATGTTTATAGAAGCTTTATTCATAATTGCCAAAAACCTGGCTGTAACAAATGTACCTTCTGTGGGGGATGCTGACCATGGGGGAGGCTGTGCTTGAGTGGGGCAGGGAGCATGTGGGAAATCTCGGTACCCTCTTCTCAATTTTGCTGTGAACCTAATAAATCTATTCTTAAAAAGTATAAAGTCTTAAAAAAAGGGCAAAGTCAAATTACACACACTGCTCTAGATTTCTGTACCATACTACTGCTCTTAATTATCACACACACACAACACACACAGGGCTTTGTGAGAAAGCGTAGGTGAATTTCCTCATAGTTGTACTTTACCTTCCGAAAATCCCGCTTCTCAAAATCCGTTTCTGCTATTTTCTCATATTCTATGACTGCGTTAGCATTCTTGAACTACACCAGAAAAATCAGATAAAGCAAGTTTTAATGAAGTTGTAAATTCAACAACCACAAAAATCAATAAAGCCAATAAATCAATAAAGTGCAGCAACCCAGTCCTCCCCAAAGAGCCACCTTACATACCCGGACAAAAGTGTCATCCAACCTCACTGACTGCTGTGCAATAAAGCTGATGACTGTGTTAAGAAAATCAGAACCATAGGCTTTCATAAATCAGGTTGGTAAAGATGCAGCCAAGACTCCTTAAGAGAAAGGCCGAGGCCCAAGCCTTACCCTCAGTTTGAACTTAAACTCAGGAATGCAAGAATCATGCCTTGCTATATACAAAACGAAGGCAAGGCATATACAAAAGCTTGGAGATCCTCACTGAATTATATCCATGAGTAATGTGAGCAAGATTCAGCTGCCATTATTTAACCAGGATCTGAATTTACTAAATTCTTTAGCCTCACTCAAATCAGTTCCTTGATGCATCTGCCTATCCCCCTGCCCCGCCCCCACCATCTCGGAAACACTCCAATTTTCACAGATCTTGAAAGCTGCAAATCATATTCAATACTCCTTTGACAGACAGGAAGGCCGAGGCTCAGAGAGACTCCGAGACTTGCCTATAGTCACCCAGATGTGGCTGATGGCAGAAGTGAGACTAGATCTCAGTTCTGACTCTCAAGTCACTATTCACCCAAACATACCACGCTGCCTCTTTCAATACAGATGAGATCAGACTCGTACCTCCTGTTGTGCCTGAACGTTTTTGTGATCCAGTTCTAGGGCTCTCTGGAAACTGCGACATGCTGCCATGGCATTCCCTAAAGACAGGTGGCACTTGCCCTCCCGCAGATGTCCCTGGAACAAACACAAGAAAGAAGGATAAGGAGCATGAGTGGCTAAACACACAGAAATCAACAGCAGCAACATGGGATAAAAATGGCCAGAGAAGTGGTTCTCAGCCAGGGCTGATTCTGCCTTCCAGGGGACATTCAGCAATGCTGGAGGCATTTTTGATGGTTACGACTGGGGTGGGGGTGGGAGAGTGCTACTTATACCTTACAGACCAGGGATGCTGCTAAACATCCTACAACGCTGTGCAGGACAGCCCTCACAGCAGAGAATTATCTGGCCCAAATGTCAACAGCATTGAGACTGAGAAACCCTGGGCTGAAAGAAGTCAAGTGCAGCAACCCAGTCCTCCCCAAAGAGCCACCTTACATACCCGGACAAAAGTGTCATCCAACCTCACTGACTGCTGTGCATCTGCCAGAGCCTCTCGGAACCTTCCGAGCATCATCAAGGTGGCTGCTCGATTCCCGTAATAGCTGGCATTTTTAGGACACAAATCTACAGGAAAGGGTATAAAGCAAGGTTTAGAATGGGTCACTGCTTCAAAGTCTCACGGGCCATCTCCCTCAGTACTATATAGCAAAGTAAAATAGGAACTATGACATTCTCTTTAAAAAGCCACTGTCAAATTTTTGACTGCCTGTGCAAATGGACAGCAACTACAGTACAACCAATTAAAAAAAAAAACAAACAAGTTATTTTAAAAACTCACTTATACTTAGCTTTAAAGTGCATTAATTATCTTTTTGAATAGGGGTCAGCATATTTATTTTCTTAATGAACTGCGTTTTATGTAATAAGATATGAGAACATATTTGCATTTGTTCAGCTGGGGGTGGAAAAAGTCTGAATCAAGTCAGGTGAGAAAAATGCTGGCATGGGATTAAAATATGTTGGCAAATTGAACATGGAAATAACTGAGTCCTGACAATCTCCAAAAGGCCATCTTCTAAGACCGTGAACAAAATGCCAACACTGAAATGCATTTAGGTGGGCATCCTATTGCCATAACACCTGAAATTTCTGGAGTTGCTTTTCATTTACCAAAGTAACTGCCACCCACTTAAGCTAAAAAAAAAAAGTAGTTTCCTCATGAAGCCATTAAGCTTGAAGATGTGCTACTTCTTAGAGAGGAGCTATTAATAACAGTATTTGGCCAATTATTTTCCAGCATAAGCACTAGGTCCGTCTCACCTATGGCTTTCGTATAATAGTTATAAGCTTCATTGTAATCTTTCTTGGCATAGTATGCATTTCCTTGTTCTTTAAAAGACTCTGCTTTCCTGAAAAGGAAAGAGAAAGAGAACCACGTTACTACCCATACCTGGAAAAACCACCTCTGCAATCTCCCAGGAGCAATCTTTGGTCTAGAGTCCCTGGCACATTAAGCTGAAAGTCAGGGTGATACCGGAAGGAATTCACAGATTTGTTTGACAGGCTGATGGACCAAAAGGAGGTGCTAATGAAAGAATCCAGGGTCTTCAGATGCTATTTTTGTTACTTAGATACATTTAAACTAAGAAAATCTCTTTCGTGTCACCTGCCTTGCCTTGTTACTCCCACCTGTAGTCATTCTCCTTACAACAGACAAGTTTAGATACTCTCTCACCGAGACTGAATCTTGACATATTCACTTCCTTCCCAGTGTGCCACAACAGCTGCTACTTCAGCAAACGTACAAAAACTGACCTACAGATACTGTGATTAGAGGCAACTGACTTCTCAGTGTAAAGTGGGTCATACCCTTCGAGTTTTAATCATTTATTCTCTTGAAAAGTGGCTCATGCATTTGTCACTGGAAGGACAAGCAGAGCAAAAGCAGATGGCAAGGAAGTTAAAAGCACAGCATACCGATGTTTAAGATGGAAAACAGAGTTGAACGACAGCAAAGACCAAGAACTTGGATGACAGGGACATGTGAGGTACAGGCTGCCATGCCATGCTCTAAGGAGCCCCCACCCACTGGTATTCCCTCTGCCCCTCTATCATCCCTGTAGCATCTTGGGTAATCTCAGAATTTCTGCCCTAACCCGATACATTTTTTTGAAGCTGTGCCATTAGACAAATTGTACTTTCCAAAAGAAACAATGTTTATCATAGGGAATTATATTCCTGCCCAAGGAATATAATTCCAACTAACACCAACTCCAACATGACTGACAACGTTTTAAGGAACAACCACCCAGTACCCTCTGTCAAAGATACCCAAAACCATTCTACTGCCCGACCTGAGCGGCAAAGATAATTCTTTGCCAAAATGATTACTGCACCATTACTACAGAACTGAGCGCAGAACTGAGCGCTTTTGTTACAAGGAAGCCTTGGTTTCTCTTATTGTCCCCCACACATGCAAACACGAGCTGAGTTCAAGGGCTGCCTGAAGTAGAAACAAAAGTGCATTGTTCTTAACCTTGGTAATGGTGTGGGAGTTTACAGCTAGATTCTAGGAATATTGGCACTGGGGAGATTTGTGATTTATTTAAGTATCTACTTCAAAATACAAACCGGCAAAGCTGCCATCTTCCTGGTGGGGCGACCCCCTTCCACTCTGCTCCATGACTGCCCTGGCGAGCCTCACTAACACGAAGAGTGCTGAAGAGAGGAGAAGGAGAACGGGCATGACCTCTCCCTGCCGAAAGACTGACGGCCACAATGCCTGGAGAGGCCCCGTGCTGTCGGAAGCCCTCAGGAAGGGTCTCCTGACTACAAGTCTGGGGGACCGATGGCCGTCTTTCTACATGGCGCACACCAACCATCCTGCAGCTCGAAGTGAACTGAGGCGCCACATAAAAACTAGGAGGAACCCATCCTTTCAGCGCAGGCGGGCCAACAGAATAGAAGAAAGGGCTTCCCCAGCACAGGATGTCAGAGGCTGAGTCAAATTCCTGGGAGGAAAGGCAGTAGCAAACTCAAAGGGAACAGCAGGCCCAAACAGGCACCTGAGAGGATCCAGCCATCTCTGCAGCTGGCTAGTGGCTAAGAATACACAAATTCTTGTGGAAAGGCAAAGACATCGAGCACCTGCGCCAAGGCTATGTGGCAGTGCAGAGCTCGCCAGCCACAGAGACAGCAGTCTGCACAGCTGCTGCAGGTGTCCTCTCCTCTGTGTGACACTGCCCCACGGGGGAGAGCCAGTTCAGCTCTGGCTCCCACCAGAATGGCAAAGGATGGCGTCCGTGCAAGACTGGTGAGAATCATTCAGGCCAGGCACTTTCCACACATCATATTCTTACTATGTTAGTTTCAGTATCCCTATTCTTCAAAGGAGAAAATGAAGGCTTCCAGGTGAAAGACTGGCCTGAGGCTACAAGGCCAGACCGCACCGTCAGATGCCAAATCTCTGCACTTCCCATAACGCTGTACGTTCTCTCGGACGCCCACCTCTCCCTATGGCCTATGACTCAAAGGTAATCTGTGCTGCCAGGAGGAGCAAGACCTGGGCGATGCAGACGGACTTCTTTAAACCAAGACACCAAGTAGCCCAATGTATAAAATCCAGCTCCTGAACAGCAACCTGGATTTAAATGAGCTAAATGACATTCTAACACCTAGTCATAGAAAGAACAGGGCTCCTTTAAAATACAAGACCTAGTAAACTGGACTTTGCCTCCCCCGAGAAATGCATTTCATTTTAGTAAATGGTGAGTAGATTCCATTCTAGAGCAAACAAAGCAAGTAATGTAGAGTCAGCCCACAGCAGGAAGAACAAGAAGAATTGTGTTGTGACAAGTTACCATGTTTTTAACCTCACACTGCACAGCATCAGGCCAGAATTAGCTATTCCCACACAACTGCCTCATGAAAAGGACTTATTTTCATAGAAACATGGTTGATTAACAGCTGCCTGAACAATAGGCACTTGGTGCTTTTAGACTAATGCTTATTTTTTGCCTCCAGGTCCAACGCCCAAAGTGGAGTCCCTCCTCCATTGTGAACCTCCCACCAAATACATGACAAGCTTTAACCAATGGGCCTGACCCTGTGAGACCAGCCGAGGAAAGAGTGGATCTTTGGAATCCAGCATGGCAGCAGCAAGAACTGAACAAGGCTGCATCAGGAACAATTCCAGGGTCAAATCCATTCAAGTCCTGCCCTGGGAGTCTGAGAAAGGGCTGAAGCTTGTTCAAGTTGCCCTTACAGCAAAGGGCCTGAAGGATGAGGTGTCAAAGGCGTGGGACTGGAAAAGAAGGAGAAGAGCAGGTTAACACTGGAACTGAAGGCAATCTGGTGGTGGCATCGGTCACTCCACTCACTGCCAAGGTCAATTCATTTGATATGCAAGTGAAGTGAGATACAACACATATCTACTAAAACACATCAGTACTCAGAAAAGAATTAACTGCCTTCACCAGGAACATCTAAAAAAGAAAATAATTCCAAAAGGGACTAAATTAAACTACAGATAATCTTCTATGGCCACAAAATAAAACTAAGACTAAATCCTAAAATGTAATACCATAGGAAAATATACACTTGGCCATAACTGACCGAATACCACTATTAACAGCTATACTTTATCTCTAGTACTTGTTTAGATTTTCAAAGTAACTCCAATGAAGATCTTCGAAACGGCCTTCTGAAGTGGTTATGGTGACAATGCCACATGCCCTCCAACAACGGGAGAGCCACTGAGGCACCCATGGTGGCTGCACGGGCTTCCTAACTCCTGGTGTCCTATGAGTATTCCTCCAGATCCTGTTGGTTTGAAGGTTTTTAGCTTCAAACTAATTTATCCAGTTCCCCACTCAATCTCTGGGTCAATTGTAAACAGTGTAAATGTCATCTTCCCAATTTTTCAAGAGATGCTGGAAATGCCTTTACCTCCACCAAACCAGTCCTTTCACTTCAATAGCCAGCTACAAGATCTTATGAAAACAGCTACTAAAGAAAGGTTTTCAAAAACTCCATCCTCACCCTGGCTGGTGTGGCTCAGTGGACTGAGCACTGGCCTGTGAACCAAAGGGTTGCAGTTCGATTCCCAGTCAGGGCACACACCTGGGTTGCAGGCCAGGTTCCCCAATAAGAGGCAACCACACACTGATGTTTCTCTCCCTCTCTTTCTCCCTCCCTTCCCCTCTGTCTAAAAATAAATAAAATTAAATTAAACTAAATTAAAAACCGCAAAAAACCCTCTATCCTTTTTGGATGTTGTGGGGAAGCCCCTACAACAGGATCACGGCTGGAGGGCTGGGGCCAGCCTCCCTTCAGACGTAAAGAGATTCCATCCTTCATTCGCTTTGCTACGTGTAACATTTTTTGTTTTTCCCAACAATTGGAAAACTGCAGTTCTTAAAACCTGGTTTTTTACATCACATGTGTATATCCTCTGATCATGCAGGTACATTCTCTCTCTCCCCCAACTCAGCACTCATTTATCGCAGATGCTATTACTCCACAAACACTGCCAAGGGAATCATTTCGCACAGGTTTAGCTGAGTTCATCATCATGTGATCAAATAGACAACTGGGCTCATGGTTACCAGCCAACTTTGCACATTTACAGCTCAGCTAAATTAAAAACACATTAAAACACCATAGCTGATATTGCAGTGTGCCCCAAATTAGACGCCCCATAAAAATTTCCATTTTCTCTCTAAATACTTCCAAGTTGTACACTTAAGCAAGATCCCTGCCTTAGGCCAACTAGTCTGCCTTTTAGCAATTGAAGAGGTATTCAGAAATTTTAATCAGCTTTTGCTAATGCAGGATTCTTTGGGTGGTAGTTTTTAAACATTCTCAGCATGTCTGGGTTCACTCTGGAACTGCTTCACACAACGCACATTTGTAGATTATTAAACAGGGATGAGATGCTTCACTACTCGTAGAGTATCATTTTAAGATGTACTCTATCTCAGCCCATGAAAAATAAAGACCAGCATGGCTTCACAACATTCTCACCCTAACAAATACTGATTAAATATTTGTACGACAAAAAACATACCACACTGCTTTTATCTATCTATTTAAAGTATATGGCTAGCCCTGGCTGGTGTGGCTCAGTGGATTGAGTTCCTGCCTACGAACCAAGGTCACCTGTTCAATTCCCAGTCAGGACACATGCCTGGGTTGCAAGCCAGGTCCCCAGTAGGGGGCATGAGAGAGGCAACCACACACTGATGTTTTGCTCCCTCTCTTCCCCTATCTCTAAAAATAAATAAATAAAATCTTTTTTAAAAGTATTTGGCCGGCCAAGATGGAGGCATAGGTGGAAATACTGTACCTCCTCGCACAACCAAATTTAAGGACAACAAAGATTTAGAAACAAAACCACAGCCAAAACAGA